ATGGCAGTTAAATTTCTAGCTAGAAAATGTGGAGAACTAGTACATTGTACTCTCTCTTTTTATGTGGAATTTGTGTGCTTTGACTTTATCTCGGTTTACAAGTTTTACTGTTCTCTTGTAGAGTGAGTACCAGAGAGGAGTAAGTGCGTGGAACTTTGATGTTGAGGATTTGAAGCTCCAAGCATCTATGGTATGTCAACTGGAAATTCTTTTATTTTCAAAAGTCATTGTATAATAATCACAAACACCGTAAATCGAGTTTATGAATTGTCTTGTTCTTGGTAGCTGCTAGACGAGGATGAAATAAGACAAATCAAGGAAGAAGAAGACAGCCAAAAAATTACCACGAGCGAGAAGGTCATTGGAGTTCTTTTTTTTTTTTTTTTTTTTTTTTTTAGAGAAACCATTTACTTCTTATGGAGCTATTTCCTTTTATCTACATCTCTATTAGTTTTAATTATGTATGAACTGGCTAGAGAAGTATAAAAATAATTGTTTTTTGTTGGTTCATAGGTTGCATCTAGTTCTAGGTTGAAACCAGCGGCTACAAGCAATAACGTTGGCAGGTAAATAGAGACGTTTTATTCCATCTCTAATTTGAATACAGTTTCTACTTAATGTAGAATTATGGTACTCTAAAGCTTTATTTGAGATTTGTACATGATGGACATGCATTTTTCTTAATGCTCCTATCATGGCTGACTTATTCAAATGCTTTGTCTCCTTATTATCTGCAGGGAAAAGACAAATGGTAATGACGTGCCTGTGGTTGAAAGTCCCATGAATAAAGGAAATGTATCTAAAAGGGATTTAACAGAGTACGACAATGAGGAAAAGAAGGAACTTAAGAAGAGCGAATCAAAAGCTGAGCTGCCACCTATGGTAGATAAAGATAAAGAAGCAGCACTAGCCAAGACTAGAAATCAGACAGGCAGACCTCGTGAAACTCAAAGTGGACCGATCATGCCTGGGGCCATGCTAAGTCATTCGATGTCAGATAGAGCGCGTAACACAGAAAGGTTAATCAATAAAAAATATTGCCTTATCTGTTATTTATCAGTAATATTTTTATTTGAACTTGAGCAATATTCTTTCTTTAGTTACGACTTACGAGCTGTTGAGTATATTTGAGTGCATAACTGGATAGTATTTCTGAGAAAAGTATAACCCTGACCAGCGTATAGCTCTTGTTTCCTTTAATTTTTAATTGTCTCAACAAGATTGGTATCTAAAGGCTTGATTCTGATATCTATGCCTAATTTTGTTTACTACAATTTAAAGTCCTACTTATAGTTGTGGAGCTGATATTTAGTGAAAGTGGAAAGTTGGGTGTGACCAAGTAAGGATTGTTTTGATGACATTCCCAGCGCTTTCAGTATGATGTCAGCATGGTTATTTTATTAGCTTTCTTGCATCTCATATGATCTCAACTGTTGTAACTAGTTGTCTATGAGAGAAATATGATGCTCTGTGTGTATTTATGTATATTGTAATACCATATTTCTCCAGTCAATCGTTGAACCATTATTAATCAGAGTTCTTATCTGATGCTCCAATAGATAATACCG